CCCCCCCCCCCCCCCCCCGACAGCAATTCCGCCCCTTCGCCAATCGACTTCTCCACCCGACCAATGACCGGGCGCCCGAGATTTCGCGCGATCTGCGCGCGCCGGATGACGTGTCTGCCGGCCCGGAGGAGGCACCGGCCGCGATGGGTCCGGCATTCTCCCTCCGTCGGAGTCGGCCCAGCTTCGGGGCCCCCGCCAGCCAAAGCCTGAATGAGCCCCCCGCCAAGCGCCGGATGCCGCCGTCCGAGCCCGAGCCACGCCCCGGGCCGCCTGCCGGGCCGCGTCCCGTTTCCCTGGGCGAGGCACGCGTGGCGGCTACTGCGATTGCCGAGCCGCAGCCGCTGCTGTCTTCGGGACTCAGTCGTGGGAGCCTCTTCAGTTCGCGCCTGCAGCGCCTCCACCGGGCCGAGCCCGTCTCGACCGTGGCCACAGCACCGCCGGCTTGCGTCCCCCCCCCGGAGGTGCCTCGCTCTGCGGGATCGCCCGCGCCAGGACTTGCTGCCCCGGCCGGTGCCCCCATTCCGACCTCCGGTGCCGTTGCCCATTTGACCACCATCGACTTGTCGATGGACTCGACCGTAACAGGGTCCCCCGTTTCCCCCTCCTCAACGGCCTCCTGGTCATCGTCCCGGCGGGAGCCAGTTGACAAGCCGCCAGCCTCCACCTCGGTCCCTCCTTCGATGTCCCTTTCTTCGGTCGAGCCATTGCCCCCGGCGCGGCGGCCGGGCTCCCTGCCCGGGGTGCCGGCCGGCCGTGTGTCACTTTCAGAGGGGCCCGCCTGGCGGCAGTCCTCCACTCCCATGGGCACGATGGCCCCGGCGTCGGCGGTGGCCTCGCCCCCCCCTGCAGCAGCCCCGACGCCTGCTTCGGCTCGTGCTCGCCGGCCCATCTTGAAGTCGGATTCTCGTGTGCGTGCAGCCGACCTGGTTCGTGGGTCGATGGCGGCCTCGTTACTGGCTCCGGCGCAGGTGGCCTCGCGCGAGCGCCTGGAGCCCCTCCTCCGGGACCCATCAGATGCCCGGGTGTCGGCGGTGTTGCGTGATGTCTTTGGCGCCGAGGGCGAGTGCACTCGCTCGCTTCTGTCCGGCCGTCTGAACATCTTTTCGTCACTCTCCTCGTGCGTGTCACTGCCCCTGCGGACCCGGCCTTCCCCCCCCCCCCCTGCCGCCGGCTAATTTTCTCATTGTTTCGCCCCCCCCCCTCCTCGCCCCGTCTGCCCTCTGCTCTTCAGATCCACTCCACTTGGAGAACTGCCGGAGGCGTTGCTCCGTGCGGCAGCCGGCTCGCCGGACTACGGAATGGCCTATGATGCGCTGGGCTCGGTGGTTGATGGCCGCGAGGCCGCCACCCTTTTGGCCGATGTGCCCGGGCATGGGGGGCCGGCTGACGATCGGGCCAGCCAGCTTCGTGTTTCGGCCGACCATCTTCGCGGGCGCCTGGATGGCTGCGAGATCTCCTCCTTTGCAATGGCTTTCCGTCGATAGTCGAAAAAATATAGATGTGCAAGGGCCCGCACTGCCTTCGCCCCTTTTTCCTTTGAGTCCCCCCTCGCATCCTCCCCCCCCCCTCCCTCCCTCTTCCCCCCCTTTTCCGCCTTCCCGGCTCCTCGTCTCCTTCGCCCATCCCCCTCTGGCGCTTCCACGATGCCCGGGAGCAGGGTGTTCGAGTGGCTGTTTTTCGTGCAATTCCGGTGCTGCCTCCTCAGCCATCGGTCAGCTCGTCCAGCATGGCGAAGATGGCCTCAGCCAAGTGCATGGCATCCGCGACAAAGGGTGACCGCTCGGCCAAGATCCCTTCCTCCAGTTGGGGCGCCTGGAGCAGTGTCTGGCGCAAGATGTCGCCGGCCACTTGCGCGTCAATGTGCAAGTGGAGATGGTGGCTTGGGCCCAGCTGTGAGGACAAATGCCGCACGGCCTGCAGGACCATCCTGGCCCTGGAGGCGGGGGCGTCATCTCGCCGCAGGCCTTGCACAAGGGGCTCGATGTCCCACCACACGAGACGCCGGTCCGCCACCCGGCCAAGCCAGTCTAATGTGCACCGGCCCCAGGCCAAGTGCGCGAGGGCGTCCAGTGGCCGGCCACTCAGGCGGTGAGTGTGTTCCAAGCTGCCAAGTGCCATGGAGTGCTTGAGGGTGCTTCGCGAAAAGGGATGGACGAGCACCACATCATGGCCCTCTTCTTGGAGCCATGCCTGGAGGCTGGCCTCCGAGGGACATGGCAGCAGGGTCTCCGGTCCGGCCGGCCACACCGAGGAGGGATAGCGCAATGGCGAGCTTCAGATTTGGCCCCCCGGGGGGTCAGCATCGGTTATGGGGCCATGGCGGGGGCGTCCGGGCGTCAGCGTACCATAGCCCGGCAAAGGCCTCCATGCGACAGGCCTGTCGATGCTTGTGGATCGCCTCCTGTGCCCCGGGCATCGGCCAGCCCGAGTGGTGGAGGAGCCATTGGGCCACGAACCGGGCCAAGGGGTCGCCGCCGACCACAGTCACGCGCCCGGGTGTGTGGCCAGTGTTGGCCACCGCCATGCCCATGGCCAGCAATTGGAGATCCACCACCGGGCCGGAGCCCAACAGGCGCCAAATATCGAAGCTGACTTGGGGCACTTCATCCGGGGTGACGTTTCGGGGGGGGCCCTCGCTCGAGGGGTGCAGGAGCCGGGCCGTGGCGGCCAGGTGTCGCGCCTTGCGCCCGGCGAAGCCTTGCACCACTGGCCGGAGGGACTTCTCCTCGAAATCCGCCAAGGACCGCGTCCGGAGATGGACCAGGCGCAGGCTGGTCCCGGGGCCGGCGTCGAGCGCCATCGGGGCCCGGACGCCGCAGCCCTCGATCAGGCAGTGTTCCGGGTCCCTTTCCGGATGGCTGTCCGCCCATCCGCCAGCCGATGGCGCCGAATGTCGGCCGAGAGAGAGAGAGAGAGCGAGAGCGAGAGACAGAGAGCGGTAAGGCGAGGGGGGATAGAAGGGGCGAGTCCGTTGACCGGTCAGTGGACACATTGCCACCGGCCGGGGCACCTGCCACGCGTGGCCACAATCGGGCCAGGCACATACCCGCATGATCGAAGCGGCTGGCCGTCCGTCAAAATGGTGGGACCCTTGAGGATATGTCCGCCACAGCGGCCAGCATGGATGGCGGTCCCGGCCCCGGCCCCGGCCCCGGCCCACCGGACAAAGGACTTCAGCTTGAACAGCTCGCCGGCCACCTGCGGATGGTAGCCAAGTTCCCCGAGGCGACTGGAGTCGGCGTGGCTCGAAGCCCGCACCCGGCGCGCCCGGGCATCGAGCTCCCAGGGGTCGGCATGGCGCGCGGTGAACCGGGAAAGGCCATGCGTTTGGCGGTCCAGCCATCCGGCCCCGCCGGCCGATTTCCAGGCCAAGGCCACCGCCAGATCCGGCGCCGAGGAGGCGCCCATCGCCCGGTCGACAATCCCCTCGAGAAGGCCCCAGAGCGAGGCCCGGGGAGTTTCCTGGTCGAACACAACTTCGGCCGGGGGGTGTGCCGGCGGCCAGCGGTAAGTCGCCCAGGCGGTGGTCCTCATGCACCTCGCAGCAGCATGCACTCCTTGGGATGATCATCTTCACGCACTGAACTCATCCACATCGATCAGCCCCACCCACTGCCAGCGCCACACCGTGCGCGAGGCCTCGAGGCAAAAATCCTGCGCCGCCACCTGGCATGCGCGGCCTTCCGCCGGCCGGGCGTCCTCGACAGGCGGGCATCCCTCAAGCAGTGGCCGTAGCAGGGGCCGTAGTGCGGCCTGCTCCTCGGGCCGGACAGCTCCCAAGAGCGCGGCTTCGCTCGTCAGGGGGAGGCGCCGGAGCAATCCCGGGGCCTGGGCCTCCCAGAGGCCGAGCACCCTCTCGATGTCATCGGAGGAATGGTCATCCAACAGCACGATGGCCGGCGTGTCGGGCGCCAGCCCGGCTTGGAGCACCTCAAGCGAATGTCGAATCCAATCGTCGATGTTGGCAGCCTCATTGCGGATGACAGTGCACAGGCCGAGCGGCCGGGCATAGGTGCCGGGTGTTGGGCCGGCCGGCGAGGGCTCGGCCACCAGGGGCGCCGTGGTGGCGGGAGGCTCCCACTCCGGGAGTCGGTTTCGACAAGCCAGCCACACGAGCCCGAGCAGCGGACACAATGCCAAGCCCCGGAGAAACATGCGCAGTAGGACACTTCTTCGAGATGCCCGGGACAAGGCCCGGCTCGGGGTCCAACGTTGTGTAGGCAACATGTCAACGGAGTCGGCAGCCCGATGGCCGAGAGGCAGGATGTATTGTCCGTGTGCGTGCGCGTGTGTGCGTGTGTGTGTGTGTGTGTGTGTGTGTGTGTGTGTGTGTGTGTGTATATGGATGGGGGAGGGGGGAGACAAGGCCGGAAGGGTGAGGCAGAGAAGAAGGGCAAAGCGTGCTTCCAGGAAGGCATTAAACCATGGCCTCCGATGAGCCAGGGTCCACCATGCCGACGCTTGACACATCACAAGTGCCTCGCCCCGTCCGGCGGACAGATCACCTCCCCACTCCCCCGCCAGGATGGCGCCGGGTGGGGGAAGCGATCGGCGGAACTGGCGGGTCCCGAGTAACCCACAATGCTCCAAAGGCACGTGACATGCCGTTTTTTTTGAATCGGCCCCTCCTCCGGTGCTTTTTTATTTTTCGGCCCGGGCGCCCCGGCAACGGGCCGGCAGAAACACCGGCCAGCCTGGCCGTGCCGATGCCCGTACAACCGGCATGTGTGTCTGGCATGCGTGGGTGGCCGCGGTGCGCCTTTTTGCATGCGGCCGGGCATTCATCAATACCGGATCTGGTCCTCTTCCGGAGGTGGATCCTGATCAGCCCCCCTCCCCTCTCCCCCTCGCACCTTGCCCCTCCTTCCCAGCAATCCGCATCTCTTGTCTGTGCCCTGCCCCGCCCCGGTTCGAAGTGGCCTTGGTCTCCATATGTCGGAGAGCCCGCAGTCCAATCTCCGGTCGTACTATGCCCTGCCCGGGCCGCCGGACACCCCGCCTTGGGGCATGTCCCCCGGCCAGAGGGCAAGGCGCCAGCGGGACCCTTTGCTGGATCTTCGACCGGATCCCGAGGCGGATTTCTACCTCGGCGAGGGGAATCCCCTGAGCATCACGTCCTTCGTGGCTGACACCACCTTTGACGCCGGGGCCACGGCCCGGCGGCCAGGTCCCGATCAGCAGGGCCCCTCGGAGCGCGCTGCCCCGGCGAGCGAGCCAAATCCCCTTCCCTCCCCGCTGTTCAATGCCGGGACCGGTGCCGCCGGGGAGGACGACCCGCTGGACCTCTCGGGCCCGAGTCAGGAGCAGCTGCTCGTCGAATGGTTCGGCGCTTCGGGGCTGAATGCCACGCAGTTGAGCCGGCATTTGGGGGTCCGCGAGCCGCGGCGGAAGCGCCCGCGCCCGATGCCCACTCGAGCGGCGGTCGCCGTCCCCAAGGCCGAGCTGCCGATCGGGTCGGTGGCCGAGCACCCTCGTCATCGGCCGGTCGGGCGGCCCGCCGGCGTCGGCGATGCCCCGGCCACCCACCCCGCACCAGACCCCATCTATCATCAGCTCCCCTCGTCGCCGGGCAATTTGCATCCTCTGTGGCCAAAGCCCGCCCCGGGTGTCGTGGATCTCGCCGCCGCCAGCCCGGAGTCGGATGTTGTCTCGTTCGATGGGCCCCCCTCCGAGGATGATGCGCTGCCCCCCTCGTGGGACACTTTTGCACACCCCCTTCGGACAGCCGCAGCCGAGGAGCCTCCCGCCTTGCGAGATGCCTCCTCCCGGTCGCCAGCCCGGCTTTCGAGTGCTCCGGCGCCAGCGGCCTCTCCCCCGCCAGCTGGCCCGGGCGCTGGGGCCAGCTCCCCCGCCATTTTGCATGCTGCTCAGATGCCACACACCGAAGCCCGCCGGCATGTGCCCACCCCCGTGGACGGGGTGGCCCGTGTGAATGGCTCCTCCGATCGGACGGGCTTGTCCTCCAGCCTGCTGGGCCTCGGCTCCGCATCCGACGAGGGGATGCCTCTCGTGCGTGTGCCTTTTCATCCCCCCCCCCCCCCCCCGGTCGTGAGACCCCGCTGACCTTCATCTTCCGTTCCCCTTTGACCGACCGCCCTGCAGCCGACAACCACATCGAGCCGGCTTGCCCAGCCGCTGGACCCCCTCGCGGCCTCCCGCCCGATGGCCCCCGCCACGCGTCCGCTGTCCACCGACGGCCATCGGACCCTTTCGTCCCTGATTGCGCCGGCCTCCCCGCCTTCGGTCCGCGAGGCGACACCACCCCCGGCCCCGGCCGATCCTGCTCCCGCCTTGGCCGACATCTCGACCATCCCCCTCGAGCATGATGTCTTCGAGTTGGACTTTGCACTGCCCGATGAACCCTCGCCCCCGGTGGGCTCCCCCTCCACCGGGGCCGCTCACTGGTCGATGTCTTCCTCCAACGCATCGGCCCATGCCGTGGAGGCAAGTGCTGCCATGGGGAATCATGACACTCAGCCTGATCGCCGTCCGTGGACCGCCCACCCGGCGCCGGTCGGCGCCTCCAGCGCCAGATGGCCCCCCTCCCGGCCAAGTACCTCGCCCGCCTTGGGTACCGCGGCGTCGAATGGAAATGCGTCGCTCGCGTCGTTGGCCGCCAATCACTGGCATCTGGGGGCCCATTCGCGACCGGTCTCGCGCGCGGATGGGGCCGCCACGGGCCTCGGCAATGCAGCCCCGGTCGATCCCTTCCAACATCTTCCCAAGCGTCACTTGAGTTCTCGCGGGTCCTTCAGCGACCTGGCCGCCTTGCGGTCACGGCTCCAGGCACGCTCGGTCCAGCGCCCGCGTTCGGCTCCGGGGGGCCCGCCCGGGGGCGGGTCCACCCCTGTGGCCGGGCGCGCGGTGTTGATCGGCGCGCGGCGCCTTGCATCGGGCCCCCCCGGGGCCGGAGACCTGGCGGATGTGGCCATCCGCAGTCCGCGCGTGCGTCAGCTTCTTCAAAGTGTCGGGACAATTGTCCCCGGCGATGGCGGTGCCCCGGCCGCCGGCCCGGCTCGCCCGCACACGGCCCCCGCCCCGGCGGCCCCGGCCCCGGCCCCGGCCCCGGCCCCGGACCCGCCATTCTTCCTGTCGTCAGCGACCTCGGGGGCGAGTCTACGTCCTGGTGCGGAGCGTCCCGCCTCCGCCTCCGCCTCCGCCCCCGCCTCCGCATCCTCGGCATCCATCTCTCCCATGCTGGGCTCGGGACCTGTGGCAGCGGCCAGCAGCATGTCACTCGCCGACCCCCTGCCGGCCTCGGCTCCGGTGTCCACGCAGGCCTCGGCACCGATTCGCTCTCCTGCCCCACGGCCAGCCTCCTTCCTCACGATTGGCAGTGTTCGATCGGATGGTGGCCAGGCCACCCCCCTTGCCCCGGGCAGCCCCTCCTCCACTGGGTCCGCCACCCGCTCGCGTCTCCTGCAGCAGGCCCTGTCCAGTGGGTCGCCAAGACGGCGCGCCCTCTAGACCCAGCTGCCAATTCTTGACTCCGGGTTCTTCACCCCCCCCACACCCCTGCACACACGCCCACACACACACACACACACACACACGCATATACAGACGCACCGCGCGCGCGCGCGCGCGCTGCAGGGACCCTCCCGACACGCATGCGTGCGCCCGATCGGCGTGAGGGATCTCGTTGCTTCCCCCCCCCCCCCTTGTACCATATTTATATAAACCTCGCCCCCCTCGTCGTGGGTGATGCGTTCTCCACCAGAGGGATGACACGGGTCCCATTCTATTTTCCCCTCTCCCCGCGCCTCCGGTGTCCCTTGCTCCTTCCCATTCGCTTGCCTCTCTTCATCCCTGGCTTCTTGCACCCTCCCATGCCGCTGCTCGGGATGCAGGCCCCACCCCTGGCTCCCATGGTGGCGGCAGCAGGCGGCCCCGGCTTCCGGGTCACCCTGCACCCCTCGGGCGACGGGGACTTCCTGATCCCCTCAATTGCCGGTCCGTCCCTCGTCCCCCCCCCC